GGCAGAGTAACGGCAGTCTATCAAATTTACACAAAAATCCTGCAAAAAGCACAAATTTCTAAATTCACACAGAACGTTCACAACATCAATATAAGGCTATTGTTCTACTGAATTCATATCAAATAACATCCTGATATTTTTCTATTCAATTAAAATGGCGTAGAACCAATTCCGACCGGTAAAATCATCGTAGAAAATACTCAAATCGTGTACAATATTCATATCTATAACATTCTAAAAGTTGTGCAGTGAAAGTTGTCTCAATACAAAATCATGTCCAAAATTCGACTACGAAAATGTAAAACAGTACACAACTCGATCAAAAATCAATATCTCTGAAAACAGAAATAGAATTCAGAGTCCTTACTGCGAGACAAACAAATCTTCCAACTACGTCGTCGGACGAAAAGCGCTCCGCGGCCTCTGAAATCCGGCTTTTCATTCTCTTCCTTCTCTTTCTCTCTCCTGCCTTCTCTTTCTCTCTCTTCAAATGATTCAAAAATATCTCGAATCCGATATTTATTAACACTGATCGTCCCGGATGATCGAAAATTCGTCCTGGGACGATTTGCCTCGGGCAGAATTTCGTACAGAGGAAATTAAAATTTGTCCCGGGCGACTTGCTCTCTGAACAAATTTCGTTCAGACGGATCGTCCCGACGCTCCAGGTTCGTACAGACGAAAATGACAGATTTCTTCACAAATTTCTTCAGTTCGTCCCGTACTAAATCCAGTTCGTACAGACTAACTGCACTAAAAAAAATCAGCTTTTTAAGGGTTTTACAGAAACTCTCTGTCTGGTTCGTCCTGACGGTTCGTCCCGACCCTTCCAGGTTCGTACAGACGAACATGCATATTTTCTCTGTTCGTACTGGCAGTTCGTACGTACTAACCATACAGATTTTCACAGATTTCTTCAGTTCGTACAGATGGTTCGTCCCGTACTAGCAACACAATTTTTTTTTTTTTCAAACATAAGGGTTTCACAATCTACCCACCTTAAGAAAAATGTCATCCTCGACATTCCCAAAGTAAACTAAGTCAAAACAAATACGGATACAACTGTCTCATATCTGATTCTTTCTCCCAAGTCGCTTCTCGAGCTGTTCTGTGCATCCATTGCACTTTAACCATAGGAATCTGTTTACTTTTTAACTTGCGTACATCATAGGCCAAAATTTTCTCAGATTCTTCTATGTACTGCAGATTCTCCTGAATCTCAACCTCATTAGCAGATAACTTCTTTTCAGAGTCAGATATCCCTTTTCTCAAAGAGGATACGTGAAAAACATTATGCACATCAGCCAGCTGATCTGATAATAACAATCTATAAGCAGACTTTTCAATCCTTTCAATAATCTCAAAAGGTCCGACATACATTGGACTGAGTTTACTCATTCTACTAAATCTGCTCACACCTTTCATCGGACTGACTTTAACATACACAAAGTCACCAACCTGAAATTCCACAAATCTGTGCTTTTGATTGTAATACTTCTGTTGTCTATCTTGTGCAGCTTTCAATCTTTCTTTAATTAGATTAATCTTCATAACAGTCTCATCCACAAAAGTTAAACTCATCACTTGTCTATCTTCCACCTCAGTCAGAGTCAAAGGAGTTCTACACTTCCGGCCATACAAAGCTTCATAAGGTGCCATACCAATATTGGACTGAAAACTGTTATTATAAGCAAATTCGATCAAAGGAATATGATCTTCCCAGCTTCCTCCAAAATTCAAAACACATAATCTCAGAAGATCTTCTAGTACCTGAATAGTCCTCTCAGACTGTCCGTCAGTCTGCGGATGAAAAGCCGTACGGAAATGCAACTTCATACCCAATCCTTGTTGAATACCCTTCCAAAGTTTGGAAGTAAACCGTTCATCTCGATCAGATACAATCACTTTAGGCACACCATGTAATCTAACAATTTCCTTCACAAATACCTGTGCCAACTTATCCACCAGATCCGTCTGTCTGATCGAAAGAAAGTGTGCAGACTTCGTCAATCGATCCATAATCACCCAGATGACATCATGCCCTTGCCTAGATCGAGGGAAACCCATAGCAAAGTCCATCGTTACCTCCTCCCACTTCCACTCAGGGATAGCCAACGACTGCAAAAGACCTCTTGGTCACTGATGCTTTGCCTTCACTAACTAACAGGCTTCGCATTTCGCAACAAAATCTACTACATTCTTTTTCATTCCAGGCCACCAGAACAAACTCTTCATGTCTCCGTACATCTTACCACTTTCCGGATGAATCGTATAGCCTGAATGGTGAGATTCGTACAGAATCTCTTTCCTCAAATCTCCAAACACAGTAATCCATAGTCTATCCTTGCAGAAAATAACACCATAATCAGAAACTCGGAGTTCATGTTTCTTACAAGATTCAATCTGAGCAATTAACTTTAAATAGTCAAGATCTGACTTCTGAGCTTCCTGAATCCTTTCTTCTAGAGAAGACTGAATATTCATTTGAGTCAAAACACTAGAATCCGAACAAGTAAAGGAAATCACCTCTAACTACAATCTTTCCATATATCGTATCAGATAGTCATCAGAAGTGAGCTGAATACCTAATAATTTAGAAGACTTCATGCTCAAAGCGTCTGCTACCACATTAGCCTTATCAGACTGATACTAAATCGTCAGGTCGTAGTCCTTGATCAACTCAAGCCATCTTCTTTGCCTCAAATTCAGATCCTTCTGAATGAATATGTACTTCAAGCTCTTATGATCCGTAAAGATCTCACGTCTGACGCCATACAAGTAATGACGCCAAATCTTCAAAGCAAAAATAACTGCAGCCAATTCCAAATCATGGGTCGGGTAATTCTTTTTATGTGGTTTCAATTGTCTCGAAGCATAGGCTATTACCCGACCATGCTGCATCAGAACACAGCCCAAACCTTTCAGTGAAGCATCACTGAACACCTGAAATCCTTCCGTACCTGACGGAAGTGCTAACACAGGAGCAGATGTCAAACAATCCCTCAACCTCTGAAAACTGGCTTCACATTTCGGTGTCCAAATAAAAGCTACTGACTTTTGAGTCAGTCTCGTCAGAGGCGTAGAAATCTGTGAAAATTCCTTCATAAATTTCTTATAATATCCAGCCATGCCTAAAAAAATTACGTACCTCAAATACCGTAGTAGGCCTTGGCCAATCAGCAACAGCTTGAATCTTCTGGGGATCAACAGAAATACCTTCACCGCTCACCATATGCCCTAGAAAAGAAATACTCTTCAGCCAGAATTCATACTTAGAAAACTTAGCATATAACTGATGCTGCCTCAAAGTCTCCAGCACAATGCTCAAGTGTCTGACATGATCTTCCTCAGAAGCAGAATACACCAGAATATCATCGATGAAGACGATCACAAACTGATCTAGATACTCCTTGAACACTTTGTTCATCAGATCCATGAAAACAGCAGGTGCATTGGTTACCCCAAAAGGTATAACCAAAAACTCGTAGTGCCCGTACCGAGTACTAAAAGCTGTCTTCAACACATCAGCTTCCTTCACCTTCACCTGATAGTATCTAGATCTCAATTCAATCTTAGAAAATACAGAAGAACCAGAAAGCTGATCAGATTCTTTGGATCAACAGAAATACCTTCAAACAAGTCATCAATCTGTGGTAATGGATACTTATTCTTGATCGTGACTTTATTCAAATATCTGTAATCAACACACATACGGAGTGTTCCATCTTTCTTCTTCACAAACAGTACAGGTGCTCCCCAAGGAGCAACACTAAGACGAGCAAATCCTTTATCCACAAACTCCTGGAGCTGAACTTTCAACTCATAAAGTTTTTTTTGGTGCCATCCTGTACGGAGCTTTTGATATTGGAGCTGTACCCGAAAAAATATCAATAGAGAGTTCTACATCTCGATTCGGAGGTAAACCAACCAACTCCTCAGGAAATACATCAGAAAACTCCTATAGCTCTGTCTTACAATCCAAATTCCAAAATCATTGCTCTGATACCACTAAAGTTTATCACGACTCAACCCGACCGGGACGGATCCCGCTCGCATCGGGCCACGACGAAATATTTGCTTGAAATCTAGGATCTAGCTTTGGAATTTACTTCAGACTTTCTTCCAAATATTAAATAGGCAAAAAACACATAGCTACTATAAACATCTAAATATATAATAGTTCATCTATATTTTCTTTCATCAAAATAATCATATACAATACAATTCATAGCTTCAAACAGAAACAACAGAACAAAACATAAAAGCCATGACTAGACCAAAAATCAAAAGTACAAAATACCTAATATCAGATCAGACACAGAACTTCTAGTCCAAGACCTCCTTCCCTTTCCCAGAACCTAAAAACTATGTAGAAAATAAGGATGAGCTAACAGCTCAGCAAGACATCACTCACCAATCAAAATAGTCAGAAATTCACATCAGAAAATAGCCGTACGGAAATCGTAGAACAGACAGATACTTGATCAACAGAAATCAAACAACTGATACAGAAAACTGATGTCATTTCAAATCGAATATCATAAGGCTTTCAATTCATAGAGCAGACAGAATCATACAGAAAATCAAAAATCATATATCGGATAATTCATAAGACATACTAGATAAGTCACAGAACAGATTATCAGATATCAAACATCAGATTCTTTGACCCTGATAGAATCTCAATGGATTCTGGCCCCTTATGCCTCCCTTCCCTAACACAAATAGAATCTCAACGGATTTTGGCCCCTTATGTCTCCCGTTGTGCTTATAGCACCAGAACAGATCAGATATACAGAATTTCCGGAACATAACTTATTTTCATATTTCAGATTTTCAGAATTCCAGGACCCAGACATCAGAATCACAAAGGATCGATTCTTACTCCTTATATCTCCCTTATGATAGCATACAAATAATCAATTCATTCAATGTATCAATTCAGGAAAAATTAGAATTCGAACGAAAAATCAGCGGCATAACGGCAGTATACGGAATTTATACAAAATTTACAGATTCAGAAATTTACCAAATTATCACAGAATATACACAACAACATTATAAGACTTTCATTGTACTGACATAACATTTTTCAACATCCTGATAACTTGCAATTCAATTAAAACGCCGCAGAATTCAAAATATATGGTAAAAATCTTCCATAAAATACTCAAAACGTGCACAATTATCATCTCAGAAATATACCAAAAGTGACGCGGTAAAATATTTATCAGTGCGGAATAAAATCAATTATTCGCTAACGAAAACAAAATTCGAGACAGAAAAGTCGTCAAAATTCTTGTTTCTGAAAATTGAGAAAGGCGGAATGTGCCTTACCTCGAGTCGATCAACTTTTTCAACTACGGCGACGAACGAAAACAAGTCGAAGTCGCTCAAAAATCCACTTTTCTTCCTCTTTCCAAGGCTTTCTCTCTCCTGGACTTTCTCTCTCTTCAAAAATGACACCTTTTAGATATTTATTAGACAGGATCATCCCGGACGATGTCCCGATTAATCATCCCGGGACGATCTTCTCTGGACTCAGATCGTACAGACGAAAATAAATTCCAATTTCTTCGTCCCTGGACGAAACTCTCTGTTTGGTTCATCCCGACGGTTCGTGCCGACCCTTCCAGGTTCGTACAGACGAACATGCATATTTTCTCTATTCGTACTGGCAGTTTGTACGTACTAACCATACATATTTTCACATATTTCTTTAGTTCGTACAAACGGTTCGTCCCGTACTAACAGCATAAATTTTATTTTATTTTTTCAAACATAATGGTTTCACATTTGTGTATGTATTATGGACTATTTTGATTATTTTCTCTTGGAGAATATCGAATAATTGAGGTGAAAATGGAAAGCTTGGTTGCTTAGGTGTTTGGGGTTGGGGTAGGGGTTGTTAGGCAGATTAGGGTTGGGATTGCTGGGGCGATTAGGGGGGAGAAGCTATTCATGAGTGGGGGTTTGAATGAGAGAATGATGCCCATATGGATATTTTTGAATGCCGAGAAGATTAGATTCTTCATGTGTAATTTCTTGGAGGTTAACAAAAATCTAGGAAAAAATAATTTGTTGACAAATCCCTATTCTAAACTATCTTTAAGAGGTATTTAATGAAATTAACAAATAAATATGCATATGTACCTGTCTTTTATTTAAATTGATAAATAATTTAGTGGTCTTCTCAATATTATATACAATGTCATCAGCTCGTCGAAGGAAACGAGGCCTTTTGTTAGGGTACTTAGGGTGATGAATAGAAGTGTGCTCTAGGAACCAAACGTACATAAGATCAAAGTTAATTTTAGAAAATGAATTAGTCAAATTGAGTGTTAAATTAGAATGATTTTAGCACTCACAATTAGCAGAGGCATAAAACCATTGACGTAACCAGCTGGCTCGTTCTTTGAAATCTTGGTAGATACAATATTAAACTCATCAATCAAGCATTCCCAAATCGACCATGCCTAGTTAATTGATGAAAACTCATATATATTATTTAATATTGTTTGTAGCAACCTAGGAATTTTGAAGTTGCTTTGTTGAAAAAATAAATTTGAACATAAATACATAATGAATATTTTGAATATAGTCTCTGGGGGGGCTATGTCTAGTCAACTCTAGCATTTTAGACTTTCTTGTGGGCAAGGTAAGTTAAGTAATCGCTTCACCTTTATTTGGAAGACCAGTAAAAAGGGTCACTTCATCAGCTGTAAAAGGTATAACATGACCATCTATAATAAAACTTTATTTTGGTATATTCCATATTATCATCAGCTGGTAAATAAGTGGGGCGTTTTGCTTAAATTCAAGAAATTAAAAAAATTGTTAGATATTTAAGTTTTTCAATTTATCTTCAACTTCACGAGGAATTATCTCTGCAAAAGTATCACATATTGTTCTAAATGTTGAAACTAAATGTTGAAACATAGCAATGATAAAAGAAGACGAATGTAAATTTATGTAAATTAAGAAAATAAATATTAATTTAGATAAACAGGTGATACACATTAATTATGCAGAGTATATATGCAATCGATACGCATAATATACACAAAAGATACATAATATATACGCATATTATACGCAATATATACGCATAATATACGTATACGATATGCATACTAAACGGGGGTAAGATACGCAGAATAAACTAAATACGAACTCATAGGGTACGCATAATATAAGTAGAAATCAAGAATTTTTTACACTAAAATTAATGAGAATGCAAGAAATGACTAATCTTTTTTCTTTATTGGAATTTTTTATGGTTTTAAGATTCATAATATTTATTTTAAAATGTTAGGGTTTGAGTCTTCAACATATACATAGAGAATAAGCAAAATATACACAGAATATATGCAGAAAGAACGTAGAAGATGAGAAAAATATAATCTTTTATCGTTATCGGGATGTTTTTATTTTGTTTATGATTTCTTCAGCAAATATACATTGAATACAAAAAAAATACATAGTATATTTTATCACAATGTACGCAATTACGTATCTTTTTTTTTTTTTGCAGGTGACTCCTTTTCCTCCTCCATTTGAGCAAAAGAGATTGCTGAATATTTTTTAGAAAAAATTTTTGTAGGAATCTCGGAGAACTGCGAATGCCGGAAATTGAAACTATATAGGCGCTTGAAATGTGAAAAATTTCCGCCTTTTCATCTTTTTACCTTTAAGTTGGGCGAGCGGGTGTCTATTCGTCTCCAGTCGGTCCAAAACTACAAACAGGTCGGGTTGCAAGTCAATGAATATCCTGACTTTTCATTTAAGCACACAACGTGTAAGAATTTTATTGGCATCCAAACATAGCTCTATGACCGGATTCCACACATAATAATTTCTCCCGAATCGGGGGAAGCACACACACCTCCCGAGAAACCCTAACAGAATCCGGCAAATCTCATCGGAATCCATCTCCGTTTCCATGGATCGAGAAAGAATCGATCTTTTATTCACTGGAAAGAAGGCTCTCGTTGAACTTGCCGAATATTACCTCTCTCGCGGCTGTGGATAGTGCAGAGTCCGTTCTAATTCTTCTTTACCTTTTGTGCTTACATATTATATACTCCTTAAGTATTTTTGCATATCTAATATTTATATTTACATTTCTCGTATCAAAACAATTATATTTATTTATATAATTTTTTTATAATTATATTCAGAGAAAATATAATTTTTAAAATATATTTTATTAGAGGATTTACATATATCATTTAATGATTGAATTATAAAATAGTTATACATCTATTATATTAAATTTATTATATTTATTTATATAATATCTTTAATATTTTTATTTTAAATATATTTTATTTTTAAAATAAAATT